GCCCTTCCTGCTATCTCACCAACAACTGCCAAGATGGTTTTTATTGTTGTTGAAGTGGTGGAGCTTAACTGGTGACAGGCTCAGTGTCTGGGAAGGGAAGTCCAAGGTTCCTGCCTTCACTCCTAAAATAATATCTATCACTCTGTACTTGTTCTGGCATTGAACCACATTAATTAAACCAAACATTCCAAAAACCACGTGTCTGCTTTAGCTCTGAGGTTGCAGTTACACACCCTCAGCCTTACCCTGCTCTCCACACCATGAGGTTTTCACCAGTTTGCACACAGCAGTGCTGTTTCACAAGCAGGAGCAAAGTTTGTCCTACCCACAGAAGGACAGATAGTGACAAATGCACCCGTGCAGGACATGGGACTCACCCATTCAGAGCCACCACCATAGTACTGCGAAAGTCAAGAACCACTGGCCACTGCACCTCACAAGGGCACTGGCCACCTGAAACATAGAATCATAGAATTGCTTTGGTTGGAAAAGATCTTTAAGATCATCAAGTCCAACCAAAAATCCAACACTGTCAAGTCCACCACTAAACCATGTTCCCAGTCGCCACATCTACACATCTTCTAAATCCCTCCAGGGATGGGGACTCCACCACCTCCCTGGGCAGCCTGTTCCAGTGCTTGACAACCTTTTTGGTGAAGAAGTTTTTCCTCATATCCATCTAAACCTCCCCTGGTGCAACTGGAGGCCATTTCCTTTCATCCTAACACTGGTTACCTGGGAGAAGAGACCCACCCCCACCTCTCTCCACCCTCCTCTAAGGGACTTGGACAGAGCCAGAAGGTCTCCCCTCAGCCTCCTTTTCTCCAGGCTCAACACCCCCAGTTCCCTCAGCCACAAGGGAACTCAGCACACTTGTGCTCCAGACCCTTCCCCAGCTCCGTTGCCCTTCTCTGGACACGCTCCAGCACCTCCATGTCCTTCTTGGACTCAGGGGCCCAACACTGAACCCAGCACTCAAGCTGTGACCTCACCAGTGCCCGCCACAGGGGGGAAATGTATTTAGGCTCTAAATCACCCATGAGCTCTGGAGATTTGTCATCCTCAATCACGTTCCTGAATTTCTGAGCTGCTTAAGCAGGTACTATGCACAGACCTTCCTCCAACAGGTTGCTGTGGCTATGGACACAATGTAGGGTTGAGAGCAAGTCAGAGAACTTTGAGGTTAAAACAAAAAACTCTTCAAATTACCCCATCAATAAATAAGGGCAATTTAGGAGGAGTTTTTAACTTGTCTTCAGAAAGGCTATACACACCTTGATTTTCATAAGCTCCTCAAGGAAACTGGATTCATGAAACAATCATAGGATGAAAAAAAAAAGCCCAGGAATTAGAAGAAAGAGAAAAATTTCTCAAGTTCTGAGAAGTCTTGGCCTAGTAAATCTGCAACCATAAAGTGGGCTGGACAAGATTAGAGCTCAAATGGATCATGAGAAGCCAGAGAAATATTCTCAGTTATAGAGGATGAAAGTCAGTAGATCAGACCACAAAATTTTACACGCTTGTAATTCTTGCTTATTACAGAAATTAAAAATGGGGGGGAGGAACAGCTTCAAAGCTGTTCTTTGAAAGCTTGCACTAAAGGGAGTCTGGGAGCACAGGCTCAGAGATAAAAATATGCTACTGCAGGAAAACCCAAGCCATGATACTGGGGTATAACCGACAGTGCAGCACCCAAGGCACCTGAACTCACCTAGCTCAGCTCTGTGTTAGCGAGGGCACGGCTGGAACAGTGAATCAGAACAGCAAAGGCTCTAGGAAACGTTACCTCTCAGGAAAGAAAGAGGATTTTAACTAGAGAAGGTGCAATGAGTGAAAGAGGAATGATAACAAACTTTAGGTATGTGAAAGGCTGTGGCAGAGAAGGAAAATAACCTGTTCTCTGGGGTCTGACAGAGTCTAAATGGGCAGCAAGAGAGACAGGTAGGAGCCTTCTGCACAGTAAGGACAGGGAAGCACTGAAACAAGGAGAGGAGTTTTCTGCCCTACAGCCCTTTCAGGCAATTGGGCAATGACATAGCTGGAACCTGGGTAGGGGGACAGATGTCCTCAGTCCTTGCCACCCCTATTACCCCCCAAAAGTGAACTTTTTGGCTGCTAAGGATTTTTTAGGGTTTACATTTTGGTTTCTGAAAGGACTCCAGCAAATGCTGTTTACATCACGGTTTCTTTCAGTTATTTTACTCCTTTCCAACCAGATTACATAAGCACAGCTTTCAGAAACGCTGAACTTCCTAGGCAACACCTTTCTGCATTTTTTTTCTTACTCCTAAAACTAACAGTCACAGTGACACATCACCCCTTGCAACAATGAGGCCTTTCCAAACTGAAATCGGTCTGACTTCATCCACAGCAGATGTCTACTCATTTTGCCTCACCCAAAACAAGGGAGGGTAAACAGTTCTGTGACCCTGACCAGCAGACTGGTTCATTTCCATAAACTAAGTTGCTTTTAACATACCACAGGATAATTTACCACTTCCAATTACAACCATGTGACTGCATTTAACCCTTATGCTTGGCAAAGGGAACGTTTTGCATTAACAGCAATTAATCAGGGTTTAATCACAGCTGAAACCAGCATAGTTAAGAAATACAATAAAAAACCCAACCTAGTATAAGTACAGCAGCCAACTCCACAACTTCATACACTATATTGGCAGCATTCAAAGGCAGGAAAGTGCAGAAGCACTCACCCTGTAGAAAAGCACAGCAGAAGATGGACAGAAATACACAGACCACAGAGGCAGCACGTGCTGTGGCTCTGGACACAGACAACTGCAAGTTTCTTGCTCCTTTGGAATACATTGGGTTATTTTAGTTGCACATTAACATTCTTTTTTTTAAATGCAAGGCATGTTTTAATATAAACATCCAGATTATAGAAAGTTTTCTAACAGTAAAAACAGATCTATATGCTTAGATCTATTTTACAAGATTGCAAAGCTAAACACCGAGATCAGGCTTGAAAACAGCATCTCTTGTCGTACAATCAGAATATTTTACATACAGAACACAGCTCAGTGCTTGTCAGGTTCACCAGCATAACACACAGTTTGTCAAACCTGCAGGGTTCCAAGTTTTTTTCTAGCTACAAATGAGAAACAGAAATTCATCCATAATTCCAAGTGCTTCCAGCCTACAGACATCTCACCAAGGGGTTAAAAATGCCAAATGGGTTGTTTTGGAGAATCGTATGAGAGTGCAAGACCACCCTTACTAAAATACATATAAATTAGATTTCAAACTTTGGCCAAGACTTTCAACAGTTAAACAGATTTCTACAGATATCTCCCCTCAAACATTCTGACTCAACTGTTCAACAGGTACATGACTAGATGAAGAGAACCTCACCACTTTATTTCCAAGTATTCTGAGATTGGAAGCTCTTTAAAATCATTTTTTATTTTCTTCAGAGACATTAAAATTTAAAGACAAAGCTACATTTTAAGAGTTAAGTCCTCTTAGATAAAAGGAACGCCTGCTCCAAGAGAGGGCCTCCATCACACATATTTCAACACTCCACCTTGGGTCAGTCAGCAGGTATTTTTTAAAAGCCACGTGTTCAGAAAGACAGAATGGTCTTATGAATTATGTCGATGCACTCTCTGATTTCATCCTCCTTAATCACAAGCGGCGGTGCCAGCCGAATGATATCACCATGAGTAGGTTTGGCAAGAAGTCCGTTATCACGAAGCCGCAAACACACCTTCCAGGCATCATAGTCTAGAATTAAAGGAAAAAGAAAATGAAGATGCTTACACTACAGCAGAAAAAGTGGCACAATAGTAGCACATGGTACGTGGGGACAGATTGTAAACTCCTTGCCATCCAGCACTGGAAAGATGAAGTGTGTTCACAAATGAAGTGGTCGCTTGTGAGCAACTCCCCAGAACTGGCAGTGAACAAACATGCAAGACTGGCTGCAGAACTGCCCTTTGCCTGGAGGGACTCACAAGTTTGCCTCCAGCACACCAAGTTTTGCTCCTTCACAGCTGAGCCCTTGTCTAGATGTAGCAATAAATTTTAAGAAGTGAACCATGCAAAGGAGAGGTAAGAGAACACCTGGACAGGACTTCAGTCAAGGTTATGTTTACACCTGGATTTCAGCACGTGATGTGCATGTCTTAGGAAATTACAGAATCACACACAGAATCACAGAATGGTGGGGATTAGAAGGGACCTCGAAAGATCATCCAGTCCAATCCCCCTGCCAGAGCAGGAACCTAAATGAGATCACACAGGAAGGTGTCCAGGCGGGTTTTGAATGTCTCCAGAGAAGGAGACTCCACACCCTCCCTGGGCAGCCTGTCCCAGGGCTCTGTCACCCTCACTGGAAAGAAGTTTCTTCCCAAGTTTAAGCAGAACCTCCTGTGTTCCAGCTCACACCCATTGCCCCTTGTCCTACCATTGGACATCACTGAGAAGAGCCTGGCTCCATCCTCCTGACATTCACCCTTTACATATTTATAAACATTAATGAGGTCTCCCCTCAGTCTCCTCTTCTCCAAGCTAAAGAGCCCCAGCTCCCTCAGCCTTTCCTCATCAGGGAGATGCAACACCCCCCTGCAAGCACTTTGTCACTTAGCATACTCATGACAAAAAGAATTGTCTGCCTTGGCTTCTAAGATGTTCTCTGATATAATTCAAGGTGTTAATCCCTAGAAATTTGTTCTCAGTCATTAACTTTTTCCTTCCTCGTACCCTCCCATATTCATTGTACACTTCTAAGTATCCTGGAACAAACGTCCTGGGACAACCCTTCCATACTCTGAGAGAAACCAGCTTTACAGATATGGCCAGGGAGGTGAGGAGACAAAAGGGTATTTAAGCTGGATTCACCATCAGGTTTGAACATTTTTAAATCATAAAATAATTCAAATAATTAAAAAAAAAAAAAATTGTTCAGACTTACTTAGTAAAAAACCCCCTACTTTTAATAGCACACAATCACTTGAGTAAGTTTTCAGGAGGTACTGCAGTGAGATCTGAACCCCAACATGATGCCTATACACGTGGCCAGGGAGGTGAGGAGACAAAAGGTTATTTGAGCTGGATTCACCATCAGGTTTGAACATTATCAAATCATAAAATAATTCAAATAAGTTTAAAAAAACCCCCAACATTGTTCAGACTTACTTAGTAAAAAATCCCCTACTTTTAATAGCACACAATCACTTGATTAAGTTTTCAGGAGGTACTACAGTACTATAGCGAGATCTGAACCCCAACATGATGCCTATACACCATCCTCCTACTCCACTAAAATACTTTCAATTAAAGTTAAAATATATTTTTTCATGCTATGATTGCAAAGTTGATTATATTTCCTCACCTTTAGTTTCCCGAATTACAATTGCATTTAACAGCCCTTTTCCTCTTACAGAAGTTACAATATCAGATGGTGTCTTCATGAGCTCCTTTCTTAGTATGTTACCCATTATTTCTGCATTTTTAGCCAAATCTTCCTCTTCAATTACCTAAAGAGAAGGCAGATCTAGAGTCAACCAAAGGGCACTGCATTTGTTTTATGTATGGATGACTAATGACATTAAAATTGCTGAGATACAAAAGGTGTTGCATGCAAAGTGTCACTAAAAAAGCTGCATATCCAAGCAGATTAGTATTAAACCTTTATTCATTCATGTTTACAAGAAACAATAAACTCTTAGAAATTTTACTCTAAATTAACTGCTTTTCATTTACTGTTATTTACAAGTAAACAGTAAATCTCTGAAGAATCTTAATATGTTCAGGTCCACATACTAGGTAATGATGAGGCTTTCTGAGTGATTTGCATTACATGTGGTCAATTCTGCAGTCACAGAGTAATTAAAATACAGACTCTGGACAAAATATTTTACTAGCTTTTGTTTGAGCTCCAGTAGCACGTATGTGTTACCAAGCTCACAGAGCAGCAGCCTCTGCAATACGGTATAGCAAAATAAGCCAGTTTTAAAATGTCTTCATGAAACTAGTGAAACTATTTTACCAAATTTACCTAAAAGCCTTGAAACTCCCCCTAGATAAATTTTTATTTTATCATTTAAGACATTAAGGGAATAAAATACACAGAAATTAGGACACATTTCCAGTAAAGATTATAGAATTTGTTTGGTGATCTATGCAAACAGTTCACCACTACCAATTTTCCATTCTTATTTAAAGCCAGATTTCTGCTTGTAGCATAACAAATTGTACCATTTATCTCAGCAAAGATCACGTCAGAGTGACACCCTTTTTCTCTCTGGATTCCAAATCTCTTATTTACAATGCACAAACCTCCAGTGCTGCGATTGCAACGCGGCAAGCTAACGGATTTCCTCCATATGTAGATCCATGTTCACCAGGCTTAATGGTCAGCATAATTTCATCATCACATAGTACTGCTGAGACCTGAAACGGGAAGGTCAGCCAATTTATTTACATATATATATATGTATATTTAGAACAGTAAACTTAAATCTCTCTGTAGCAAACTTTTCCTCAGGCTCGGGAAAGGATAAATTTCAGCTTATGGTGAGAAATTACATTTACATTCCCAGCTGTGTGTAGAGAAAAGCATATCTGAAAATCACATTACAGCTTAATCCCTTCAATACACTTAGCTATACTGGGAACACGTAGCACCTAACTACAGCTGAGGGGCATTTCTCCAAATTGAATATTATTTCAAGAGTTTAGGCTTCAAGACTCTGTTTAGCTATTTAGAAATACCTTCATCTGGCCAAAACAGTACAAGGCAGGTTGTAACTTCCACCCTAATCAGCAGG